CTGTGTAGGCCATTTGAGTACAGTGAGTTCATTGTCATGTTCAAGAGACCATTGTGAGACATGGCACGTTATCTGGAAACAGCCATTAGAAGCTGGGTACACTGTGATCATAAAGGGATGGTCAGCAACAATACTCAGGTAGGCTGTGGTATGTAAACAATGCTCAGTTGGTACTCTAGGGCAAAAGTGTGCCAAGAAAATATCCCCCACACCATTATACCACCTCCAGCCTGAATTTAGATACAAGGCAAGATGGATACCTGCTTGCGTGTTTACACCAAATTCTGACCCTACCCTCTGAATGTCACAGCAGAAATAGCAACATTTTTCCCAATCTTCCACTGTCTGGCTTTGTTGAGCCTGTGCCCACTGTTGCCTCAGTTTCCTGTTCCTAGCTGACAGGAGTGTCACCCGTTGTGGACTTCTGGCGCAGTATTCCATGACCATGGCCATAAAGGCTATTGAGGCATTCATTCTTAGTCTTGTTTTGTCTGAGGGTAAATTTTGCTTAGGATTCTCTGGCAGTAAATTCTGACTGTCAGAGGAGAGGCGGAGGTGAGAGGTGATGTACTGAAAAGGTAGGCACCTTCCCCCCCCCATGTGCATGTGCCAGCTGTAATGTATAAGGTGGCAAAAGTGAAACTCATTTTTAATAAATTACTTGTAAGGAACATAAAAAAGTTGGAAAGAGTGCACGTTAAATAATTTGGGTACATGCTTGGTTTTGGTTGTGCTGATTGACCTGCCACAGCTGCAGACTTCCACTGCCCTCTGCTGTCCTCCTGTCCCCAGTGTCCTCTTTGGAAATGCTAAATATGGGCACCCTATTATCATAGTTTTAGGTTTCTTAGGCTTTTACATGTTTTTTATTTTTTACACTAAACCGAATTTATCCAAACCCTATTGGTTCAGAGATATTCATATGGAACTTCTGTACAACAATTTTAAATCGATTTACACCCTGCATTGGACATTCTAATCCAACTGAATGGTCAATTTTGCATCTATTTTTTGTTTTTTTAATAGGCATATGGCCTAACATCTCAGGATTGTGGTTTCAATCCTTTATTAAATTGGTAGCTCTATACTACCACCAGTGTGTGCACTGTGATAGACTGGCATCCTGAATTGGATTTGTTTGTAACGGAAAGTGTCAAGAATTTAAATTTAAAGGAAAAAAACATGAAAACACTGTCACAAATTATATACACTGTAATAATCTCATAAATTTGGTTTCCCTCTCTTTGGAGAGTTAAACCACCAAAACAATGGAATCTTCACTAGAATGGGAGCAGAACCTGTACATCTATTGCTTTTAGATGTAATCAACATGTCTAATACTATCATACTGAATTTAGATTAGGCTGCATATACAGTTTTGAAACTTTCACTGAGCGCATGAATCATTTTAACCAGTAATGCAAACAAAATAACCAAATATCTGATCACTGTAGCCTCACTCCCAGGACTAACTGCTCCACAGGCTCTGTGTATGTGTGGAGTTTCCCCACACAGTGTGTAGATAACCCACAATCCATCTGAAACACATAATAAGGCCCATCCATCCATTTTCCATACCTGCCTCTCCTTCACACAGTAAGATGAGTCTCTAAAATGACTGCAGTGTGACAGTGTGCCAGGTGACAGACTGGCATTCAGAGTGTCTCCTGCTCTGTGCCCTTTGCTTTCTGGGTTGAGCTCCAGGCTGCCCAGCACCTTGTGCCAGATAAGCAGTTACAGAAGAATAATTATCATTGTCACATAGACTGGGAATGACCCAGGCACCACCATTATTATTTATAACTCAGATATATGGGTTACTGACACATTTATGACAACATAAAATGACAACATAAAAAGCAAAAATTGGCTATAAAAGCCGAAAAACAGAATTTGTTGTGAGTTTAAAGAATATGTTACATTGGATTAAAAGTATTTTCCTATAATATCACTGTTTACTCCTATATCCAATCAGGACAAATATGTAATATATAATTATAGTGCAATATTTAATCATAATATTATATGCAGTGAAATGATACCTGTCACACCGAGCTGGCAAAAGAGACACGGATCCAGTAATGCAGGGCAAGCCGTGCTTTAATGAAGCTGACAACAGGTAAGCAAGGGTAAGCAGCAACAGAACGGAGCACTGGAGGGAGAGCGCAGCCGTCCAGGAGACTGGAGCCGCTGTGCGAGGTAAGTCAGCTCCTCGCGAGATGGCAACCGGGCAGGCAGGTTTGGAATCGGCAGGCGGTGATCGTGGTCGTGATGCAGATGCGTGGGTCGTTAGCCAGAAAGTCCGTCCGACGGAGAAACACGGGACAGGAGCACAGGAGGGGAGGACAGAGGGTGCCGGACTCAGCAGGGCAGGAGATTCAGGAACGGGAGCTGGACTGAGGAGGGAAGGCACAAAAGGAAAGGTTTCTATGAAAGGCAAACTGCTAAGGTACGGGAGAGCAGGGAGACAAAAGACAGAAAAACGCTCGGTATAGCTTCTTTGCATCGGCTCAGTACTTCACGATTGTCAGGTGGCTGCGCTCCTCTTTTAAGGAAGACCTAATCCTTGGCTGAGGTGTTGCACCTGCTTGACCCCGCCCCCATGGGCGTGACAATACCGCTATAAAAGTTTACAGAAAATTAATATACTTAAGCTATAATGTAAAAATAATGAAAAAATATACATTTAAGTATTTTCCTTAACAATATCACTCTGACACAGAAGAATGGGCTGAACTCCTAGTTCTATAGAGTGCTGGACCACAATAGAGGAATCAATCAAGTAAACAAAGAGGTGGCATTTTGCTTCAACACAGTTTTATTGGAAGTTTGCACACAATACAGCCGTTTCTCAATAATTCCACTTGATATGCATATAAGAATATTTTCTATTTACATATAATTGTTAGTCTTGTCCTTATATCAATAGTAAAAATATAATCAAGAATATTGCAAAAAGTATTTTAAAACTTGTATATAGCACACTGAGTGAAATCAACCAGATATGAAATATTGTACAACAGGTACTTTATCAGGACTTTGTCAGGTTTTGATGAAGTCTAGTTTCAGAAACCCGCAAATGAACAGGCACAAACATGAAATGAAAGGGAATAAAAGAAAATGAAATGCAAGGAAATTAAATTAAATCAAATGAAATGAAAAAGAGAAAGATAAGGAGCATGAGCTGACAGCGAGTTGCTGCAGCCATCAGGGATGAGAACCCGAGTGCAGCTACTGGACTGGTGTGAGGTGTTGTTTTCCTGGTGGATGGAGGGCTAATCCAACCACCAACCCCCAAATTTCCCTGTTCTTGGAGGACCTCCTTCAAGAATGATCTCGACCCACAGGGTCATACAGTATATGACCCTTCCTTTTCCTTACATTCAACCCACTCATCAAAGTTAAGATTTTTTTTTGATTTACAGCCCATTGTACCATATAGGACCCAGTAACATTGATATTTAGTGATTACTGACTGAACTAACCAAATTTTTTTCGACAATAAATATGGCCCCCAACGCCATATTGGGGGAGGTTGTTGCTGTACATGCTGCAAAGATTTACCTGTCAAGCTGTGAATAGGTAAGTGGCAGAAATTTTGCATCATCAGTTATAATGTTTAGATGTTATAGAACATGTACAGCTTGGTTTTGGATGTTTTGAAACTTTTCTGGCAACTGTGATGATCATGTTTCATGTGCTCAACATCAGCCTCAGACAAAACCAGAGGGAATACAGGTGGTGCATCAGACCTTACAACCCACCACAAGTAAACTTTCTGAGTGTAGTTCACCTTTTTGCAGGTCTGTTCACTTGATCTGTTTCTTGATGGGTTGGCATGTTTGAAACGTGTTTTATTGCCAAAACGTGGTGAATAATGAAAAGGAAAACTCAATAAATGCATTTTGAAAATGAGAATGTTGCAAAGATTTGGTTTTTTCCTTCTTTTCTGTCCTTATTTCATAGGTGAAATTAACAAGTAAGAACAGCATGACCAGTCCAGCGGGTCGTATATGGCACATTCATAACATGGACTGGGACTGAATTTTTACAAAACACCTGTTTTTGAGTTCACTGGGTCTGTATGATCATTTTAGCCAATGGACATATTTTTCCTATAATGATTAGGTGGTCTGGCTTCCCCAGAGATAAAATCATCAGATCTAGACCCCATTATTCCTGGGATTCTGGTCTTATTTATTTACTTATTTATAATTCACCTCATCATTATATTCACTTGTCGCCCTGTTGTCTATCCGTGCTGTTTTCTATGTTCACTGCCTGCAGGAGCACATGCAAGCATTTAATTTTACACGGTACTCATACTTGTACACATGACAATAAAAAAATAATTGAATTGAATTGGGATCGGCCACCCCTAAATGAAACGATTTGATGGAGAACACAAACTAAAAATAAAAATTATTTATCCCGTAAATAATCATCTTATTTGCTGAACTGTACATATCATTGCCATGTATTTTTGCACTCCTGTCAAGTTCTCAGCAGTTATCATCTCTTGACTTATAGTAGTACTTTATTTATATAGCGTCCTTCTCATACAAAGGTCACAGAGTGCTGAACAACAATCTAATACAAAATCGAACAAGACACAGACATTACCAATAAAAATAAAACAAACAGGGACTAGTCAGCCCTGATTAAAAGCCTGTTTAAAAAGAAATATTTTCAGTTGTTTTTTAAAAGAATCAACACACTCAGCTGCAGGCAGACCATAAGGCAGGCTGTTCCATAGTCTTATAGCAATATTACAGACCATAAGGCAGGCTGTTCCATAGTCTTATAGCAATATTACAGACCATANAGACCATAAGGCAGGCTGTTCCATAGTCTTATAGCAATATTACAGACCATAAGGCAGGCTGTTCCATAGTCTTATAGCAATATTACAGACCATAATGCAGGCTGTTCCATATTCTTATTGCAATATTACCTCACGGTCGTGGCTTCTTGCACTTTACTCCTCATCCAGTTTTTTATATCCTTGTTCTAAAATTCTAAAGCATATATTCATGTATTTTTGTATAACAACAGTAACACTATAGGAGAGAAAGACAGAAACACATGCGTAAACTGTTAGCATAAATAAATTGAATAAACTCAGAATACTAAATTTTACAACAATCCAGAAAGAGTAACACTCTGAAGTTTCCCTTTTACACTCATACCAACACTCACATCAACCTAAGGGAGATGTGTAAACGGGAACTCACCCCAGCAAGAAATCACGTCACATTACACATCCGCATGGCCTGCAACGACAGTTAAGATGGTGAACATTATATACACCTGCAAAGGCCAACTTGACTAATCTCCACTTTAATGGACCAACCGTTTGGTGGGTTACTGTCCTATAATATTAGAAACATGATAACCTTGGGGGACTATAGATGCTGTCAGTGATGCAGAAGGAAATCATAACTGTTAACATCTCTAAAAATTTTTATCAAAATCTTTTTAATGACATTTTATAAGCATGGCATACAGAAAATTAGAAGGGCACACAGAGGGAAAGTATGAATGATCATTGGGAGAGTCTCTTGTAATACCTTATATACAAATACATCCCTAAAACTGACCAGGCTCTGGGAGGGATGGTGCACATTACACTTACCATTTGCTGACTTCAGTTTTTCTGCCTCAGGAACGCTGATCCCATTGGGCTCCCCTGGACAGACCAGACACACAGTTATAGGTCTGACTAATCAGTGCCAGTCAACCCAATAGTACAGCTTTAGTCTGAGACAATGTCATAAGGGGCTTTCTGGGGTGGGGGGGCTGAAGCTAGCCTAGGGCTCCCCTTGGGCTTCAGCCGGCTCGGGGTAAAGGGCTTCATTTGCTTTTAAGAATGACTTAAGCAGGTAACTAATTAATGACTTAATGTCTTGAGTGTTCCTGTCATAAAGTGTTATAAGCATGACAAAGGCAGGGCTCTAAAGATACTGTCAGTGATGTGTAAGGAAATCGTTACCATTTGTCAGATTCTGTTTCTCCATCTCTGTGTCCGTAGGGTTGGAGCTTCCATCAGTGGTCACTGGACAGAGCAAACAGTGTTACAGAACTCTCTCTGTAATGGGTTTGATTTGCTTTTTAAACTTGACTTAAGCAGGTCACTAATTAATAACACTAAGGGCATCACAGTTACATATTATTATTATTATGTTACTCAAATCCTTAGCCCGACATCCACATATCATTTGTGTTTACAAAGTGTGCTTTAATGTTTACATGTGTTTAAAGCATGTGGGAGGGGTATTTTAAGGCTTAAACTAAAAAAAAATGTTTATTTATATGGTCATATATCGCGGATTTCCACCTATCACTGATGGGTCTGGAACGTAACTTCCGCGATAGATAGATACTCAGTTGCTGTTAGTAAAGTGGATTGTGGTCTTACTGTTCTATGACAGCCACAAATGAAATGTAGTATGTTTAATTGATGCTGATGTGATGGACAGTGGTTAACAAACAATTTATGAATGACAACTCTGGTCTTTAAAGAAAATTAAAAAAAAAAGCATTACCAGTATCTTTACTGCCAAAGCTGCGTAGGACTGAAATACAATTCTCTGGATGGGAAAATAAGTAAATAAAAATTACATACTATTCTTCATTAATATAAATGTAAATGTCAAATACTTAATGAATTGACAAAAGCATTACAAAAACAGAAACAATGCTGTGTTGGGATGAAAAAGAAAAACATTTTTGTGAAGTGGTAATAAGATCTATCAAAGATCAAACAGAGTTATACTGTTCACAAGGTCAAGAGTTACTGCAGTCACCCTTCAATTTGCTGCTACTAAATGGTGTTGATTCAATGTAGGTAGAAATTGTCTCAAAATATGAAAAGGTCCAAATCTAAACCCATAAAATGTGTCTGCAAACACTGGAAAAGATCCAACAATTTTGAGTGTCTGAGATTGCCCTTGTCTTTGTTATCACTATGTATCATTGCACTTTGTGCATGTTTCAAAATTTGATGACATTCAGAGCTTCACCCTTACAATGTGCCTGCAAATGTTGAAAAAATATCAGTGAAATACTTTTTGAGTTATCGCAATCAAGTTTCTGAGGTTGACCTGTTTGCTATCAGTATGTAGTGCTGCTATACTTTTGGCGTGATTCGTCTCACTTCCAACTATTAATCCATGCAATACGCCTGCAAAGTTTGAAAAAATACATCAAATACTTATAGAGTTACTGTGTGCACAAGTGTCTTCTACAGCTTCCGTTTCCTTCCTTTGCTGCAACATAGCACTACCGCTTCATTTTCTTGGGCAACTTGTTGCATAATAAAATCAGGTGTAGATCTTAATCCATAAAATGTTTTTGGGAAGTAGGAATCACATCCATCAAACACGTTTTGACTTATGACATTCAAAGGGTCAAATGTCGACTGCAGTCACCCTTCCCTTTGCTGCCACTTAGCAAAGTTCTTCAGTATTGGGGACATTTGTCTCAAATTTTGACCTGTTTCAGTTCTTCACCTGTGCAATGTGTCTAACATTTTAAAAAGATCCTTCAAATAATTTTTGAATCATGCAAACCAAGTGTCTGAAGCTGCCTTCATCACTATGTGGCACTGCTTAAATTTTGGTCCAATCTGGACCAAAATTTGATCAGTTCCATCTCATCACCCAGGCAATGTGCCTGCAAAGTTTGACAAAGATCTGTCACATATTCTTTGAGCAGAGGTCAACACCACAGAGAATTTTGATGGACATTTTTATCAAAATGAAATTTTTACCACAGTCGTGGTATTTAAAAATGTAGCCTACAGAGTTTTCAGTCAAAATATTTTGTCACAGACATGTTTGTCCGTGTACAGACAGGTTGACTATGCCTGGGTTTGAGATATCATGCTAATGAGAAAGTATCTGCGGCAGCAGCGGACCAGTCCCCACCTGGAGAATACAATTAGCAGAAATTGTATATAGGAAATATAACATGGGTTGGTTAAATCACATTGCAAGAATTGCAAAATTGTTCAATAATACAAATGTTTGATTTTTGAGGGATAAAACATTTAGTAGCAAATGAAATCTTGAAATTATTATAAACACAATAATTATAAATGTAACAATAATTATCAGTGTAACAACTTCACTTAAAAAATCTTTAAAACATAGAAACTATGTTTTTTTTTAAAGAAAAAACAGACAAATGCCATAGTACATGTAAGAGCAAGTTGGTTCTATTAAATTTTCCATGACTTACCGCTGATCTTTTTTCGAAACAGGACTGCAACAATGCCCAAAATGATAATGAACACCACCAGTAAAACACCACAGATAATCGCAGCGTGTCCACCTTCCAATTTTGGTGCCTCTGTGAATAGATAATTACATGCATATTTAATTAAACAACAAAAGAAAAACAAGTTTTAAAGATTTCACATGAAACATGGTCCAAATTTAGGTGCATATTAAGTGACTAACACTTGATTTGAATAAAGAAAACATTAAGGAATCAATTCTCCCATGCACTAAAGTAAAAAAAAAATTATGGGACATTGCACTTTTAAGACTGAATGACTTAAGGGTATTCTCCCATTGACCTAAGTACTGGTGTGTCACAAGTAAATGACCCTTAAGCTCCTTCTGCCACTGACTTTTGCACATTTTTCACCGCTTGCTCTGGACAGCTGTATTAAGTCACGTGCCTCTACACGGCTACATGCAACAGTGCAGTTTTCAGAAAGCCAAACATGTAACAAAAAAAATGTATCATACATTTAGAAACAAATGTTACAATCCAAAATCGATATGCATAATTCATATAATTATACAAGACTTATATAATGCAAGAATATATAGAAATATAGCTGTGGAAATATTTAAGGGACCACAGCACAATTTTTTGATTCACTCATTTCTTAATTTATGGGTATACGTCTGTGAATAATACTTCTTTTTTTTTTTGCAAACTGCAGCCTGGTTCTTCCCTCTTTCTCATTAATGAAGGTCTTCTTCTTTGCTTTATGGAACTTCAGTCCTGCTTCTAGGAGCCTGATACGAACTGTCCTAGCAGTGCACTTCACACGACTTAATGTTTCTCATTCCTTTTGAAGGTCACTTAATGTCATCCTACAATTCATGACTACCAGATAACATTACCTTAAGTATATTAACTTAATTGCTCTGCACTGTATATCACAGTAACATTTTATTTTTTTATCATAGGATTTCCATGTCCATGAGAGTGACCAAATATAAGCATAGTTGGCTACTCCCATGATTTCATTTTCGAAAGAGTTTCTGCAAATTTCATTTAGGTTCGTAATGTAAATGAAATAGCCCCTGTTCTGTTTTGCTTGTTTCTCAATTATTACCAAAATGATTTCCAAAATGATTTTTTTCGAGTTAGGTGTTTGTTGGGACAATCGACCACTCTGTGAATATCGATGCAAAACACTTTTCCTCAGCGAAAGTAACTTCAGGATGCAAAATCAGCTAGTGCAATTTGCCTAAAATGTGCCAATCATGACAGGTGACTGCTGTTCACCATTTGTTCCCTAACTGACCGGGAGGACATAAGAAATTTTATAAACTACGGAATGAATCATGCAGCTCTGAAACTGGATTGGAAAAATAAAAAATAACAAGTACCCCATTTGCCAGCAGCGGTAACATCTCCCCTGTATGTTACTTTGTAACGATATATATCCAAGTCAGACTTGAGTATCTCAATCGACTTCTTCAGCTGGTACGTCTTTGCCATCGTCCCGTCAGCACTGAATTCACTGGGTCTGATCCCTGTTGAAGTCACCCCGTCAGCTTCAGTCATGTTGTCGTCATTCCTGTAGATGTCGACTTCCACATCTCTGGTGTGCAATCCAGTGACCAGGCAGTGAAGAATCACTTTGCCGGGGGTTTTAGTGGTTTTAGCATGTGGATAAACCCCGGGAGCAGCTAAAAGTAAGAAGAGAAGATTAAAGCATGACGATCTGTCAGAAACTTTAAGTTAATGGAATCTGAATCAATGTTACAGAAAAGGCAACCATGTGTTTAAATATTAGTGTATGCAGATCAACATAGCAATTTCGCTGTTCAAATTCTAACTATACATATGATAAAAATGTCATACAAAATATGAAAAATGCAATTTAGCAATTTCTCTATACAAACCAATTTATCATTTTAATTTATTTAAAATATGTAAAGAGATAAAAACCAGTATTACTGACGCTGATTTTTCAGGCCCTTTTCTCCATAGCCCATGAATTTAGTTAGCCAGTCCATGCACTCCCTCTTTAGGTATCCCTCTGTGTACTGGTTGAGGGTTTGTGAGTCGTCCCATTTCCTTTTGGTGGCCCGGGCTTGTGAAACTGGGGCGACCCATTGCAAATGTTTCGGATCAAAGGAGAGGAAGTCCCCACCATCATAGCTATACTGATCAAAACCATCGCGAAAGGCCAGTGTGCCATCAGGCTGAGGTTCCCCCTGACAGCCATGCCTCCACTGCAGGACATGGAGACCTGGGGGAGACAATGAGAATGACACAGGTCACAGCATTCACTGTATAATCTATCCAGCTTAGCAGTGTGCAAACTTTCTCAATGTGCCAGAAAGAGTAGAGAGTCCCGGCTTTGATATAGTAACACGGCTCACTTACCCCCCTTGCTGTGGTTCATTCGGTTCATCAAAATCTCAACATTGACTTTGAACCACTGCTCCTTGCTCTTGCGAGACGAAGTGCCTTTATCCCAGTAATTACCATCCAGTCTCTGAGACATCCACGTCTGCCTGGGAATTTTGGTTTTTTCCTTGCTGTTGTAGTAGTCAATCTGTTCGTTATCCAGAATCCCCATGGCGGTGAACTCATACACACCAGGAACCTCTACAGGCTTCGACAGGGCAGTGTAGATGTATTCCAGAGTGTGTATTTCTGCAAAGAAGGAAAAGGTACATGAAGGTAACTTGGAGAAAAAGCCAAAACTACTCCAGACATCCACCTGACTCCACTTTAATAATTTAACAAAGAAAAAAAACCCAACATATTTGTTACATTTTATTTTTCAAATCATACTTATACAAAACATTTTGTTGCCATCTTTCCAATACGGCATCTTGTATAGAAACACAGAAACTGGCTATTTTTATGCTTCATGGAAATGTAGTCGTGTTTAAAATTACAATAGTTAAGGCTAAAAACGTTTTCTTTCTTTAGGATTCATTATTAATTTACAAAACATTATTGGACATATATGTTTCAAGTTTCAGATTCTATTGTCACGTGTGTTTGAAAGAGAACGGCGAAATGTTCGTGCCACAGTTGCAGGGGAGGGGACAGGCCGAAGGGGGGTGAGGGGGAGTGAACAATCAACTGCAACTGTGCAATAAGACAACGACAAGAACCTGGAAATAAATAGCGACGCAAAAACAGCCTGCAGACAACAGATGCACATGTAAGCCACTGAATGAAATTTAAATTTATTTATGGATGAGGTGTAATTTATAAAGTTTTTGATAACACATTGCACAAGCGCTTCATCCGCATTGACCGTATCAAACCAAAACTCGAGGCCGTTGAATGTACCGGAAGTAACCACCTCGTAAAGTGTAAAAACAACACGGATAATATCGTGCTCATCGACTATATGAGCTCGATTTGACTATGCTAATTAATCTTAAATTGTAAACATTAGGTAACCAATAATTAAAGTAACATTTCAGTATAAGATTATTTTTATGTAAAATCTTTACATGTCACACCACCAAGTACATCGTTACCGAGAACAAAACGTAAAGACAAATTATACAGCACTTCAGTATATAAAACTTAATCATAAGGCGGGTGTGGTTATCAAAGTGGTCATAAAACAACCAGAGGGAAATAACCTTTATAACGGTAATTTGCAGTTGAATTCAATTTTATGGCTAAATTACGTTTACTTTCGTTTTTATTGCGAAGGGTGGCTTTAGTGTTTCAATACACGTAAAAAATAACTTACCGCTCCCAGCCATCGAAAAGCAAGTGAACATCAGAAAGACGACTCCGGACCCCATATCGCGGTGTTTTTTAGGTAACTGATAGAAAAAAAGTTATTCGTCGATGATTTCAGCGGCACGAAGCAGAAGACCTTTCACGTTTCCGTCCTTCTCCGATTTATGCGCGTTCCCGTACTTCTCCGCTTTATGCGCGTTCCCGTCCTTCTCCCCTTTGTGCGCGTTTCCTCTTCAGCTTCCTATCCGCTTTGAGCGCTCGCGAGTCAGCAGCTGTCAGGCAGAAGCGACTCGCGCAGGTTAATGCTCCGGCCTGTAGTCGTTTCTTCCATTTTAATACGATACTTCGTGGTGAAGACAAGTAGCACGCACCTTAATCGGTTCGTTAAACCGCATATTTATTTGTAGCCAAATGTGCTTTACACGTTCCTGCATCATTTATACAGAATAATGCAAAAACATGTAAAACGGAAGACAAAGACCATAACAGCATCAATAATAGTGTTGTAACATTTTTACATCAGATTACTGTAAATTTAGCCAAACATGTCTTGGCAGATTTGTTCAGAGTCATTCAAATGAAACTTATGGACATTTTTTAAATCGATTTAGACCTTGTGATTGACATTGTTTTCCAACTGAAAGGTTAATTTTTCACCTATTTTTGTTTTTTAATAGGCAGAAAATTTGGCTTAATACTGTAGCTCCAGAATTGTGGGTTCAATTCTGCCCCTTGTATATAGTTTGCATGTTGAACCTGCATTCACATGGGTTTCTTCCCACAGTCCCAGTGTGTGCTCTGTGATGGACTGGCGTCCACTTTAACCCTTGACAGGTGATTGGATGTGTTCCTAACTGAAAGTGCCAAGAATTCACATTTGAGGCAACAAAACATGAAAACAGTGTCACATATTATACACATACTACAAATTACATTAATTTAGTTTCCCTCTCTTTGGATAGTTAAACGAACAAAACACTGGAATCTTCACTAGAATGGGAGCAGAACCTGTACAGCTATTGCTTTTAGATGTAATCAACATGTCTAATACTGTCATTCTGAATTTATTTACGGCTGCTTACACAGTTTGGGAACTTAAATTGAGTTCATGTATCATTCTGAACCAGTAATGCAAACAACAACCAAATACCTGATCACTGCAGCCTCACCCTCAGGACTAACTGCTCCACAGGCTGTGTGTGTGGAGTTTGAGTTCTTACACTGGATTCATCCAGGTTCTCCACAATCCACCTGCAGTCTAAAAACACACAGTAAGGCCCATCCACCCATTTTCATACCCGACTGCAGTGTGACAGTGTGCCAGGTGACAGACTGGCATTCAGAGTGTCAGTGTGACAGTGTGCCAGGTGNCAGTGTGCCAGGTGACAGACTGGCATTCAGAGTGTCAGTGTGACAGTGTGCCAGGTGGACAGTGTGCCAGGTGACAGACTGGCATTCAGAGTGTCTCCTGCTCTGTGCCCTTTGCTTTCTGGGTTGAGCTCCAGGTTGCCCAGGACCCTGTGCCAGATAAGCAGTTACAGAAGAATAATTATCATTGTCACAGACTGGGAATGACCCAGGCACCACCATTATTAATTATTACTCAGATATATGAGTTACTGACACAATCACAAACAAATTATGTGATTTATTTAACTCTTTGGAAACAGCTCATAAAATAAAGCTTAAAATGGCTACAAAAACAGAGAAACGATATTTAATGTTGTGACAGTTTAACGAAGAAACTAATATCATTAGCCTTTAAATTAAAAACAGTGTATGTTACTTTGTAGTAAAATGATTTTTCTATAATATCACTCACCTGAGTGTTTACTTCTATATCTAATCATAACAAATGTATAATATTGTATTATTATTACAGTCAATATTATACTACAAGTAAATGTAAGAATTTCACAAACTTAATATTGTTAAATACATATGCAAGGTACTCTTAATTAAAATTATATACTTAGTATAGCTAAGCATATTTTGTTTATTTCTAAAAGGTTAGTTGGACAAACAATCAATCAATCAGTAATTCTCTACTGAGTGAAATATATTGAATATATTACATAAAAAGGCTCTGATGATGTCAAGTTTCAGAAACCCCCAAAAGAAAAGGTACACATATGGGATAAACAAAATTATTTCAAACTCTTCACAATCATTTCAGTGGTGATTTATGCTTATTACATTCACATTTCTCATTGGTTAACATCAAATTTGACTGACAATAACATATGGGAAAAAACAATATGGGAAAAAATAGACCAAAATGAAAAGATGTATTGGAGAACACAAAATCCACAGTGGCACTATGGGAGAGAGAGAGATAGAGACACAAATATGCAAAATATTAGCAATTAAATTTGGCAGCTTTGGAACAAAGCTAGTATACAAAATATTACGAAAATCCAGAAAAGTTTGCCTTTTACAGTTTAGAGCAGGGGTGTCAAACTGCAGTCCTGTGTAGCTTAGTTCTTTCCCTGTTCCACTACTAATGATTCAGCTCAACAGCTATGTGATAATTAGAACAAGAAGTTGAATCAGGTGTGTTAAACAAGGGGAAACCCACAAATGTGCAGGGCTCTGGCCCCCCAGGACTGGAGTCTGACACTTGTGGTTTAGAGTGACAATAATAGAAACCTAAGGGAGATGTGTAAACAGGAACTCACCCCAGCAGGAAATCACATCACATTACACTTCCTAATGGCCTGCAACAACAGTTAAGATGATTAACATTAAATACACTGGCATGGACCTACTTGACTAAGCTCCACTTTAGTGGAACATGGACCTGTTTGGTGGGTTATTGTCCTGTAATATTAGAAACAAGACAAAGGTGAGGTCTATAGATTGTCAGTGAAATTCATTACCATTATTTTGATTCAATCTCTCTGACTGCCAGAGGTGGAGCTTCCACTTGATTCGTCTGAAAACAGCAGAGTTATAGAAGTCATTGCTGGTGAAAGGTTTGGTTTGCTTTAGACATGACAAACGGGTAACGAATGCCAGTGTTACTGGCATAAACAGTTATAAGCATGACAAAGGTGCCACTCTACAGATGTCAACAGTGCCATAGAAGAAAATCATTACCTCCATTTAGCAAAGGAGTATTTGAACGAGGAGAGGAGCTTCCATTAGAGCCTCCTGAAAACAAACAACACTGGGTTACAGAGCTTCCTCTTGGTGGAACATGCAACTGTTTGGTGGGTTACTCTTCTTTAATGTTAGAAACATCACTAAGGTGGGTCTCTGTAGATGTCATCATTGACATAGAAGAAAATCATTACCTGCATTCAGCGACTGGGTACTTGAATCACTGCTGTCAGGAGGGGTGTCCCCTGAAAACAGCAGACAATTGAGTTACAGAACTCACTGCTGGCAAAAGCTTTGCTTCACAGGTAACTAATTAATGTCATGAGTGTTACTGTTATAAAGCGTTATAAGCATGACAAAGGGGTTCTCTGTTTATACATGTCGTCAGTGACAAAAAGAAAATTATTACCTTCATTCGGTACTTTGCCACTGCACTATGCACTGTACTTTTGGTGGTGTGAAAAGTACCAAAAGTACAGTACATCTTGTGATGGTTTTCTACTGGCATAAGAACTGGTACCGGTGCTGAATGACATTATCACAACACGGGCGGGATATTTTGTACTGAATTCAAAAAATGATTATAGTATATAGGACTGGGTGATTCGTGATATTAATACCAACATCGCATGTTATGCACATACAATTCTCACATGGCAAGGACCACGATAGTCAGCTGGGCTGAGATCAGGCTTTTTCATACTGTCCGGACATTATAGTATTATATTTTGCTAAAACGTTTTTAGCTGCGTCCTATGAAACAAAAATGAGCAAATTTAGCAATTTTAATGATTGTTCCTTTTCAAGATTATCTAGTATGAATTTTGAAAATCAGTTTATTGTTTACTGCTGCTGCGTTTGCATGAGCGCTTCATTCACTGTCTGAGCCAATCATAATCATTTTCATGCTTGATGTTTAAATCATTCCCAGATGGGTTTGTGAAAAATTTATTTTATATTCCTTTTTTTGATTTATAAATATTCCAATATTTATGGCAACAAAATCACATAATAATATTTGCAATTTTTCCAATATTGTGCAGCCCTAGTATGTTATACAAATACTTTTTCATTTCCTGTCATGCCTCTCATTGAATCTGTTATTCCGACCAGATCGCAATTAAAGCTTCGCTGTCTTCCTTTTTCCACGCATCCACTACTGTTCCTTTTTTCTTTTACTTAGTTTATTGTTGTTTTCTGAGTTTTCAAGATGGGGGGGGGGTATTTTGTCTTTGCAAGGCTGGTTATTTGCATAACAAATCGACATCTAACACATTTGCAAGTTCTACCCCAAAGTATCGAAGAAGTGCCCCAGCTGGTTTGGTACTTTTGATACTGATCAATGGAAAAGGGAAAATACTGAATTTTTAGTACCAGAAGAACAGTACCTAGTTTGCTGGAAAAGCGTCCTGAATCAATGCTGCCAGAAGGGGAGCTTCCTTTGGATTTCCCTGAAAACGAACAACACTGGGTTATAGAATATTCTGCTGGTACAGTGTTTGGTTTGCATGCTAGTCATGATTTAAGCAGACATGAGTGTTACTGGCATAAACCGTTATAAGCATGACTGATGGTGGGGGTGTACTGACATAAGGAAATCATTACCATTATTTTGAGTCAGCCGTTCTCACAATGGGCTGTCAGAAGCGGACGAAGACAGAACGTTAGCCCCCCCCTCCCTGGGTTTAGAATCCGTTGAACCGGTATTCCTTTCTTCTGTGTGGCTGCACAAGTGTTGGTGCCTATAACTTACTTTGACTTTTCAGTATGTACATATCTAAATAGGCGCGCATTAACACGCATTTCACGAAGCGCTAAAGCTAACCGTAAAAGCTACTTAGACATTCATTTCTATCTGAACTCTATATGTTGTTTTTTTTCTCTTTCCTCCAAAATATTCGTACATCTACTTTGGACCTTTAGTAAATGTGCAAACTTTTTCAGGGTATGTTGTATTTATGTTAGTACTTTATAAGTCCCCAAATCTTCAGATAAATGTGCGTACCAATGTTTTGCGACTATTTTGTTTGTACGAAGCTTTTATTACTGAGCCCCCTGATGGCTATACTGATAGTTTAGTTATAACATTATGTAAAATGTCATTAATGTGCAAATGACAGATTCAATTCTGAAATTGCACTTTATTATTGAGTTAACAAGAATTTACAAATACAGTGGTACCTCGGTTCTCGAACTCACTAGAACTCGAATTTCTTGAAAGTCGAACAAACCAGTTTGACCTA